TGGCCGAGAGCAAGTAAGGCCTGGCTGGCCCCCAGGGGCAGGGGCGGGACCCCGGGAAAGGCGGGGAGAGCCTGCGGCCTCTGGGTCCAGACGCGATGAGGGCCATGCGGGCAGGTGGGCGGCCTCAGGCTCACGGGATGCCCGCAGCTCCCCCGGCAGGAAGGAGTCAGAGCAGCAGGGCGTGCGCACTGCCGAGAAGCTGCTGCGGGAGTTCTACCCGCACACGGCCTGGGGCCAGACCCAGCTGCGGCTGCTGCAGGGCCTCTGCCTGCTGGCCACCAGGGAGAAGGCGNCAAGGGGGACACCCAGGCTGGAGAAGACGCGGGATAGGAGCGGGACGGGAGCGGGGAGCACAGCGGGGGCACAGCAAGAAGAGGCATACAAGGTCGGGCAGCCAAGGGGGAACATGCGACGGGGGAGAGTTGGGCAGGGTTCACGTGTCGAGGGGCGTGCAGGGGTCGCCTAGGCCGGGAGGGGCTGTGGGTGCCCGGGCGCTGGGACCCGATGCGGCTTCCCATCCGCCGAGGCCCTGACTGGCTTTCTCTGCAGTCCTGCTGTAAAGCCTACGAGTACATGGGCTTCATCATGGAGAAAGAGCAGTCCTACACGGATGCAGCCAGCAACTACGAGCTGGCCTGGAAGTACAGCCATTATGCCAACCCTGCTGTCGGTAAGGCGGCCGGTCTGGGCACACGTGGGTGGGGGAGGGAGTTGGCAGCAGGACCGCCACCCTGGCCCCGGGCCTCAGGGCCTGTATTCCGGCCCATTGTTGGAACCAGAGGGGTACTCAGGTCATCAGGGTGCTACCCACCGTTTGTCTTCTCTCTGCCCTTGGATAGGCTTCAAACTAGCTTTCAACTACTTGAAGGGCAAGAGATTCGTGGAGGCCATCGAAGTCTGCCACAATGTAAGCCCCCAGCACCGGCGGGGAGGGCTCGGTGCACTGGCCTGGTATAGTGGCAGGGAGCCCGCCTGATGTTTTCACGCTCTTTCTCTCTCTGTCCAAGGTCCTCGGGGAGCACCCCAACTACCCCAAAATCAGAGAAGAAATTCTGGAAAAGGCCCAAGGGTCTCTGAGGCCCTAGCTCTGGTCAGTGGGAGCCAGGTTGGGTGGAAGCCATAAACCTATGGAAACTTCACGGAAGGGGTGGGATGCAGGTCAATGGAGAAGAGATTCAGAAAATGACATATTCTTCCTCATTTCTATATGGTGTGATTTGTTTGAACAGTGGCCTCCTCTGTTCCAAGGGGCATCCCAAAGCTTTATGTTTTTAAGGCACAAGAAGCAGTTTTGCTCTAGGGAACAAGGACATCAAGCGGCTTAGCTTCTGCTGGGTTCATTGGGCACCTTCCTATGGGCCCCACTTTTATCCCAGATTCTGGGAGGGGACGGAAGGGAACAAAGAGGTGGTTAAAAAGTACCCTACAGCTATTTTTAAGTGGTTATGTTAGCCCTGTAAATGCCTCTCCTCTCCTGTCTGGTCCCCTGAGTCCTGGAGCTAAAGAACCAAGGCCCCCCCC